AAGCAACATGAATCTGAATACTTTAAATGATTAAGTTAAATAAAGAAAAAATATCGTGAACACATTATATTTCACAATTCCACAACTACTGTTGCTATCATCTTGTGTCACTGGAAAAATTTAGAAAGACGTATTAAATGGGTAGTCAATTTATAATGAGTCAATTTAAAATGAGCCATTCATCTTCTCCATTGAGCCAAAAAGAGCCATTAAATGATTAAGTTAAATAAAGAAAAAATATCGTGAACACATTATATTTCACAATTCCACAACTACTGTTGCTATCATCTTGTGTCACTGGAAAAATTTAGAAAGACGTATTAAATGGGTAGTCAATTTATAATGAGTCAATTTAAAATGAGTTATTCATCTTCTCCATTGAGCCAAAAAGAGCCATTCACCATTTTGGCTCATTATAAATTGACTACCCATTTAATATGTCTTTCTAAAATTTTCCAGTGACACAAGATGACAGCAACAGTAGTTGTGGAATTGTAAAATATAATGTGTTCACGATATTTTTTCTTTATTGAACTTAATCATTTAAAATATTTTCAGATTCATGTTGCTGCCACTGTTACTTATGGACTAAGTTGATGGCGGGAAAAAGGGGTGAAGTGGGTGAGGACAATTTTACCCTTGTTTATGGAAAGAAAAAGGTATTTTTGTATTTAATTAACGGAAAAACTGAAGAAATATGGACGGAATGACGTCCGGCGCAAAATGAGGGCAAAAATGCCAAAAAATGAAAGGTGGGGACGTTTTCCACATTATACTTGAAAGGTAGGGACGTTTTGTGCCAATTACCCTTTAATTAACGGAAAAACTGACGGAATATGGACGGAAGGACGTCCAGTGCAAAGAAAGGTTGAAATGAGGGCAAAAATGCCAAAAAATGAAAGATAGGGACGTTTTCCACAATAGACTTGAAAGGTAAGGACGTTTTGTGCCAATTACCCTTTTACCTAATTCCTACTATTTCAACTTGTCAAGGTTGGTGGATTTTACTAAACTTACGAAGTATATTCTAATTTACCAATGATTTGATTCCTTACCGCCTTCGGTTTTCATTGTTCGTTTCATTTTCGGGGGTTACCCAAATAGCAGCAAATCATTTAACTATTATAGCACCTTATTTTCCATACTTACTCTTTCATGCTTTTTATCTATCTATGCTTGTTCATAAATAAATCAAGTGATTTGCAAATTTAATAATATATATTCGAAATGTATTTGTGTTATCAACGATAACTCATTCTGAACATCTCTACTTTTTTTATATAAATCAACGCATATTTTTAGATGTAACAATATATTTTTACAAAGTATCACACTCGATACCATGACAGCTTTTTACATTATTGATAGCTAAAGATTTGAATCATGGTACTCATTTAAGAGAGTATAGACGCATCGATCATCCCTTCTCTTTATTGAAAAACTACCCCTACTTGGACTCAGAAAATTAGTTGAGAAATTATTTTTGCATTAACTATATTCTTGATAAATGGCCAAGCAATGATACTTGAGGACTTGTGGTCAAGAAACTATAGAGACAATAATATAATAAATATCGAATTCTGCCAAGAGGATCAAGAATATTTTCCTAAAAATATACGTCGAAGGATACACCTGTATTACGAGGAACTATATCCTCATTAACCTCAACTAGAGGTTCCACAAAAGGAAATGTCCACCGGAAAAAGGAAAATTGATTAAAGAAGATTTACTTTTCACAATGCTGCACGCACATTTTTCATTACATAGCCAAACCTTGGAGTTCCAGTTCACAGTTTACTTGTAAGTCTTATACATGTCAATACAGTTACACACCAGTATTTAACTGCCAGTCACCTGTAATATTACACACAATTCTACAAGCCCTCACTGGAAAATTAGTAATATGCCTACTGAGTCAAAAGGGCGCTGCCTTCCTTGATAAGGACAAACACACTGCCACCATCTCCTCTCGAGATCCGAAGATCATCATCAAGGTATGTTGTTAGAAGCCAAGATTCTGCCCTGGCACCGGAAATGGGAAACTTCAGCGGTGGCTGGGTAGAAATGGTTTTTGCAACAGAGGAAGCTGTGTCTTGAACAGAACTGAGCAAACCTTTGAAGGGTGTGAGATCAATCTTCTGTCCCAGAAATTCTACATTTTCTGGTAATACAATGGAATCGGTCAGCTGAGGAGTGCCTATGATTCCTTCTTCAAACTTTATCTGCAATTCAGATCGGCAAGGTAAGAATTATTTTTAAAATAAGTTATTTTTGTACTCAGAAGTAAACGTAATATGTTCAAACTATTTTGGGATGGAGGCAATGATCAAACAGGTCAAACCATATGGAACCATTAATATTTCCTTGAGAAAGCAGTTCATTGTACAAGATTTTCGCCAGCGTCACAAAAGAAAGGAAATTTTTGGATAATAAATAAATGGGATCTTTACTCGTATGATTTATTATAAGAAAATGTAAAACTATGAACAAAAAGTACCTGCACACGCTGGGGACTTCGAACTTCAAATTTGGCATTGGTACTTATTGAAGTGGTTGCCAAGGGCCCAGCAAAGACAACAGAGTTCTGGACTGTTAATTTCTCCGAGTCAATTGTCTGTGATATCTCTTCAAGAGTCACCAATGGCAGTGTTCCCCTTGATAACAAAGGAAACAAACCCACGAAAGATGTGTACCTGCAGTGCCCCACAGGAAAAAGTTCGTCAATTTGTGCAATTTAATCTTAGCAATTAATGATCAGGCTCTGAGATCATGACCAATGCAGACAACCCTGATATAAAATCTTTTTCAAAAAAATAAAAAATAAAATTCTTGCAGTAAGTTACAACAAATATACGCCATCATTAACATTCAAACCAAGTAAAAAAGTGTGGGAGAAAAGCATTATCGAGAAGAATGACTACTAGTTTAAAATGATTCAGGGTCTCATATAACTCCAGAACAAATATGGGAAGTCACTTAAGAGGCACAACATCCCATGTCCATGCAGCTCCAGCAAACCAATTTGAAAATGGCCTTAAAAGACATCAAAATGAAGCAGGAAAGCCAAAAAACTAGATGGCTATTTCTGAGTTTTCCACTGTTTTCAAGCACTGTTTTTAGATTCTTAAGAACATTATTATAAAATATTAACCAATCACAGTCACATATGACACCATATATTGATCATTATTTACAGAAAACTCCTAATTTGAGTTTATACTGCAACCCCAAATATTACGATGGTGGCTAGTTCCAGTTCCTCTCAACCTCAGTTCGCTAGTGTCAGTCAATTGTGGTCTTTTTAGTCACAGTATAATAAGTTCCCACTTTTTAGCATAAAAATGTTGTACAGTGACAAGTACCACTTGGTCCGGAATTTATTATTTTTTTTTTTTTTTTAAATATTGTGAAGAACAGGGCCTTTTTATTCATCAATAGTGTTAGATTTACAAACGAGGCAAAATACAAATTATACCACCGGGATACATGATTAACGTTCCCATCAGAAACCAAGTGAATAGTTGCGCAGAGCAACAAGAACTAAATCATCTCATTATTCACTGCTACCATTGAAGTGTTAGAAGTGTGACTCAAATAGGAGTCTAAATTGTATTCGATTTCTAACATTTTTTGGAATTCTTTTAGGGCTAGATTTTATACTGTAAATAAAAGGCTCCTCTTTCAGTATTGTGGAAGCCATTATTGTTGTAATTCTCTCCTTTCATTGATTGAATAAAATAACATCGTTCCTCTGCCAGTTCTTTTATTTCTTTACTTTAATCTTGCTCGTGGTTATTTGTGATCTTATTCAATACTTCAATTACAACAAGTGGAATTCATTAAGTCTCAATTCCTGCATTATTGGTCAATCAGTTTCAACAAGTGGTATCAGAGCGGGGTTATTGGTGAATTTTTGGCCTGAAACTGATCGAAAAATCGTCAGAAAATTACCAGAAAATCAAAAAACGAATCTGTCCAATTTTTCGATTTTCTGTCGGACTGTTTTTGCGTTTTCTGGTCAAACCAAAAAGAGTTTGAAGAAACGAACACCATCTGTGGACTCAGCAGGCAGAAACGATCCAGAAAAGGTCACAAGTCGTCGACGCATTTCCGGCCAGTCGCCGGCAATGGAACTCCGACGAGGAGAGTGGCGGCGCGTGCGGCAGTTTCCGACGACGGTGTCTTCAGGCAGTTTTCTCCGGACGACGAGACGGACCTTGTGGTGGAGTCCAATTTCAGTTTTGGGCAAAATTATGATTCTAGACTATTTTACCCCTTACACGTTTGGTAGTTTTCATTTTTAGGTGTTGCAGGTTGCAAGTTCTTCCTAATTTAATTGAGATATTTTAGAGATGAATTCATTGAAATATGAAATTCTGCTATTGGATCGCAATACAAGATTTTCGCTGTAGCAAGTAAAGGTGAGAGCTGTGTTGACGCAAATGGATCTTGATGATACTTTGCTGGGTTTTGATAGGATGCCAGCAAACTTATCTATGAAGGAGAAACAACGGAAAGATCGGAAGGCTTTAGCGCAAATTCAACTTCATTTATCCAACAATTTGCTGCAAGATGTTTTCAAGGAGAAGACAGCGGCTGCTTTGTGGCTCAAGCTAGAGCAGTTGTGCATGACAAAGAGTTTGACGAGCAAACTGACTCTAAAGCAGAAGTTGTATTCTCATAGCATGGCGAAAGAAGGGTCACTGCAAGACCACCTTACTATGTTCAAGGAGATCGTTGTAGATTTGGAAACGTTGGAGGTAAAATATGATGAAGAGGATCTAGCATTGGTCCTGTTGTGTTCGCTACCCAATTCTTTTTTGTCATTTCGTAATACTATTCTGTATAGTCGTGACACGTTATCCATTGAGGAGGTATACGATGCCCTGTTCTCAAAAGAGAAGATGGAGTTGGTTGGAGATCCTGCATCTAGGAGTGGGGATGCTCTTGTTACTCATGGTGATAGACAGAGGAGTAGATCGAAAGTGAAGTACAGCAATGTGTATTGTTATTACTGCAAGAGGAAAGGACACATCAAGAAAGATTGCGACAAATTGCAAGATAAAGGTGATTTACATGTAAATCATGCGGGGCAATCAGATAATTCAAATGAGACTAATATTGTTGAAATTTTTTGTGATGATGGAGATGTGATGTTGGCTGTATCTAACGGGGAATCCAAACCTGAGGAGTAGATTCTGGATTCTGCTTGTTCGTATCATATGTGTCCCAATAGGGCTTTGTTTCAAACATATGAGACGGTAAAGTGAGGTGGAGTTGTCATAGGAAACAACTAATCTTGCCGGGTTGCAGGAATCGGTCGGGTCAGATTGAGACTACAGGATGGAACAGTGAGGACACTTGATCAGGTTCGCCATGTTCCAGACTTAACAAAAAATCTCATATCACTTAGTACCTTGGATGAAAAAGGGTACAAATTTTCTGGTGGAGGTGGAGTCTTGAAGGTTCGAGGGTGTCCGGGTTGTACTGGGGGGACAGAGGAAATCCCAGTTGTACATCTTGTAGGGGAGCGCAGAACCAGTTCAGAGACATTTGGACAAGTTCAGTACCGTGGTGGACATTCAATTTGGTACAGTACCTCTCGGGTATGACTCTGGGTCAGTTAAGAACTTTGCTCAATGGAGTGTTGGTAATTCCACTTTGCCACCAATTTTAGCGAGTACACTGTGTTCTTGTAATGCCAATGGACTCATGGAGCGTATGTATAGTTTTGGAGATGTCTATAATACTTTAGAAATCATTGAAGGTGACAATATTGGCAAGGGACCTTCTGATTGTGCATTTGGTGTGGCTTCTGCTACAGGGTGTGCTTCGACCCTGTCCGGTGATTGTTAATTTCAAGAGGAATTTTGGGAACCCGGGTTTGGATTCGGGTGTCGCTTGTGGACGTCGGGCGAGGGAACGTGTTATCGTGGAGAGTTTAGTTATTGCGTTGAGGAGATTGGTCAGTTCATTCTGATGCAAACGGATTATTTCTCAAGGTGGAGAAATTTTGGAACTTTGTTCGTTGCACCAGAATTTGAGTCAAGATGGAGATTATTAGAAGTGTGACTCAAATAGGAGTCTAAATTGCATTAGATTTCTTACATTTTTTGGAACTCTTTTAGGACTAGATTTTATACTATAAATACAAGGCTCCTCTTTCAGTATTTTGGAAGCCATTATTGCTGTAATTCTCTCCTTTCATTGATTGAATAAAATAACATCGTTCCTCTGCCAGTTCTTTTATTTCTTTACTTTAATCTTGCTCGTGGTTATTTGTGATCTTATTCAATACTTCAATTACAACAAGTGGAATTCATTAAATCTCAATTCCTGCATTATTGGTCAATCGGTCCCAACATGAAGAAGAATAAGCAATTGTATACACGTATATCCATTTCCATGGTCAGCATCTCCAGACTCTAGAAGTAATTCTATTATAAAATTGATCGTCTGGCTGTGCCGAATCCATCTGCTGATATAACAAACAAAAATCTAAATTTTTTCTTATTCAATAACGTCAAATCTACTTTACTAGCGTGCCTTAATAGTATATACACATCTTTTGTTTATTAAGGCCCTGTTTGGCACCTTTTTTATCAAAATGCATTTTTCTCTCTTTCCTTTTCAACCACACATTCTTTATTAAAATAATATTACACGTAAATCAAAAACTTTTTCTTATTTTTCAACCACACATTTCCCATCAATTTACTATTCAAAAATTCATTTTCACATAAAAATTCCTACCAAACACCCTATAATATTTTTCATCAGGGGCCATTTTGATGTTGATCAACAGAATTTATCAGGGGCCATTTTAATATAAAAACACGCATGTGGTACGCGAAACAATTGAAAATTGTTGCTTGAAAAACTCAAAAATAATAATACTAATACTAATATCACCAAATTAGGCCTACCGCATAAGTGTAATATAATAAAAAATTCAAAAATAAATTAACTTCATATTCCTATTAGAGGAAAAATTATAGTGGAACTTACACCAGAATCCATTTTCCGTTGAGCCGGGTCAAAGCCTCAGTGGGTGCCGGATTCGGGTTTTTCGCCTCAAGCTGCGTGATCAGCTCAACAATCTCAGCCCTCGTCTCAGTACTAGCAGTCAAACCTCTGTTTGTTCCATAGAAAGAGTCCACCAATTGCTTCTTCAGTATGTCAATTTCAGTAGGCTCCTTTGGTGGCTCCTCCTCCTCTGCCACTGCTATAGCGGATGCGTCCGGCTCTTTTTCTGGACCCCACTCATCATCGACCTCTGCTCGAACCAAAAATTTCGGCTTCGGCTTCGTAAATTCTTTTTTTAAATTGGAATTCTGTGGCACGATTTTAGCCGAGACACTGATTAAATTTACAGGAGAAAGAGACGATTTCGATGTGAATTTTGAATTCTGGACGGAAACATTGAAAGTTTTGAATTGTAATCCGTTGAAATAAGAAACTGTAGCCATTCTCGACGGTGGCAGCGGTGGTTTTTTCCTGGCGGATTCAGAGGAAACAGATTACTCTACCAAAGACAGACCTCTGAAGTCTGAACTCTGTTTATTAATGAAATCGGGGACGCGGTAGGATTTCGTACGAATTGGTAGTTGGAAGTGAAAAGACTATCTAGTCCTTGTCATTTTATCGAGATATTTGCAAAAGCTGGGGATATTTTAGACAGGGAGGTCATCAGCTGGGATGCCGTAAGCTTTGGACACGTGTTGTACTGGGTTTAAAGGTAAAGAGCTCAGCTTTGAACCGGTGCTCTCGATTTTGTGCATATAAACTTATAATGGGATATACATGAAAATGACCCAAATAGTATATAACCTTTTCCAAAATGACCTTTGACTTTTTTAGAAATTTGAAACTACC